GATAGCCCTGTGGTAAAAGCAATCCTCTCATAAAAGAGTAGGTGCTCCAGTGAAAACCAGTCCTTAATGCCCTTGGCAAAATGCAAAAGAGATACCTCTCTAGGCTCATTGCCAGCTCAGAGAGAAGAGCTAGTAAAGAGAGATAGAAAAATGAACACCGAGCTTACGTATTTTTATTGCGGAGACATCAAAGCTGAACCAGAAGTTATGTCCTGAACAGGGCTTTCGTCAAGGCTGCGGTTTAATTTCATTTAATTTCATGTATCCTTCTCCCCATTTTAGCCCCGTGTAAGTGCAGTGGGGAGTCAGAGGCCCTCATCTTCCTAGGTTTCTCTTCAGATTGTATTGGCAGCTCTGCACTGGCTTTCTTCTGAAGCATATTTTCCTGGTGTTGTCCATCAACCTTGGGGCCCTCTGTTTCTCTAGGAGGATCTGGGCTGCAACCTTCAGAAGCTCTGTGTTGAAAGAGCTTTTCCAAATATTTGGTTTTGGCTGTGTCACTGAGTGAATACTCCAAAGCTACTAGCAGAAATGCCCTCTTTCCAGGTATATCCTTTCTGGGATGCAAGGGCCTAGGGGTGGGCCAGGGAGGTGCAGTTTACCTCTCCTTTTATTATGAATATTTACTATTATAATTATAGTAGTGCCTTGATGCCCCGCTCTGTGATCAGACCCAATGTGAGAGTTATTGAAACTGCAGTCCTTGTCCCAGGAGCTTCCAGTCCAAATAGACAGGGCAGACACTGAGTGAGGGAAGAAGAAATGTAATTATCATCCATTTGCAAGTAAGCAAAAGCTGCCCAGAGGTCTTCTGGCTTTGATGAATCTGGTCTAAATGTGTCTATACCCGGTGCATCTATACGAGACATTTACTGCAGAGCTGCCTAATGAGCTGCACCATAGCCTCAGCATCTGCATGTCAGATTAGGCCGCAGTAAATGAATTAACTCCACTATAGGTTGGAACTTGTAAACACTTCCAACTTTAGTGGGCAAGAAACCCATGTGCAGATGGTGACTGAGGCTGGCTAGCCCCGCACCGGAGCACCCTTGTGCCCCAGCCAGCCCCTCCATAGCATGTTGAGCCAGGTCTGAGTCGGAGCAGCCCTGGGCTAGCAGGCTGACCCCTGGGATCCCCTGCCAGCCGGGGCTCCTATGACCTGGCTCGACGTGCTGTGGTCCCAGGCGCTTATGTAAAAGCAGCCGTATGCAGATTAATGCCTGGGCCCGGGGGGTCCCTGGATGCGGGAACGACAGGTTCCCCCGTGCAGGTGGGCACTATTCCAGCCCAGCTTGGGGCTGCTGGGAGACGCAGGGGTGGCATCAGCTTCAGAACTGCCCAAATCCTGACTTGAGAAGGACTTAAAGGACCACACACATGTCTTCTTCCTCAGCGCAGGTGGGCTGGGGGATCCTGTGCTGGCCCAGGCTGAGGTAGTGGGAGGCATCTGATGTTTGGCCACCCTGTATAGGCTGCCGTGACCACTGGTCCAGGGCCAGGTCCGTGAGGCAGGGCCCATGGCTGCCTCCCGGAGTGCCCCCGTGACTGGTGTCTCTGCAGTGTCAGCTCCAAGAGCTGCCCTGGCTCGGCCCCGCAGCCGCAGCAAGCTGCCACCGGTGCTCACCTTCCCACAGGCTCCTTCCTGGGCGGCGATCAGGCATTTGGTGCCTGGGGAGAGGCAGGGCCCTGCGCTGGGAGGGAGAATAGGGCCCAGGAGGGCCAGCCCACCTCCTACACACTCCTGGGTGCAGCCCCTTGCCCTGTGCAGGTGGTGGGAGCTAGGTGGAGCCTCCTCCCCTCCTGCCATGCAGCCTTTGCTGGGAGGAAGGGCTGGAGAGAAGAACCAGCTGGAGGCTACTGCCAGAGCAGGGACTGGCTTGGCTTTGGCTGGCCTGGCTCTGCCTTGCTTGGCTGGCTGCTTTGCTCCTTGTGCTCCTCCTGCAGGGTCTTCACTTCATTCCCCCCCACCAGCTGCCCCCTTCCAAACTGAACGCACCCAAACCAGGTCGATCTCCAGGTCGCCAGCTGCCATCACCTTCTCGGCTTTGCTTGTGGCTTAGACCCCATCCCAGCCTCCTGTGCTTCCCTTCCCACTGTAGTGTCCATGGGGCAGAGCCCAGTCCTGCTGGGTCCTTAAAATGACTGAAGTTGATGGGATTTTTTCTTTTCCTGTTGACTTCAGTGGTAAAGTTGAGAAGTCACAAAGCCAGAACCTAGGAGACCTGTGGGTGGGAGTGGGGTGGGGTTAGGGTTAGGTAGCGGTGCTGGGAGGGGTGGCTACATGGGGCATAAAGTGAATTTTGGGGTGGCTGTAGCCCCTTCCCCAAGCCCCTGCTAGCACTGCCCCGTGCATGTGCGTGGCCAGGAACATAGCCGGGCAGCCAGCTCCCTGCTGATAAGTCTAATGAGGGGAAAGGGACGTAGGGCAGGGAAGAGGCATGGAGAGAGCAGATTGAGGACCCATGGTGAGGGAGAGAAGGGGCAGGGGCTGCGGCTGGGGGCACCGCCTAGCCAGGGTGGTGCATGGGACCTTTGACCCTAGCTGACTTCCTGCCCCTGGGGCGCAGGGCTGGATCTGATGATCTTGCAAGGTCCCTTCCAGCCCTCATGTCTATGAATCTATGAACCCACAGCAGGCAGCCTGCATCTGCCTTCACCCCACTGGGCTCTGCTCCAGGTGTGGAGGAGAGAGGTGGATGGGGAGCAGGGAGGAGTGGTGGGCATGTGCCACCCCACCCCCAGCGCAGCCGGGTCCACCCAGCCTCCCCCATGGGACACAGAGGCCACCCTGCCCTTGGCAGCAATAGCCCCAGGAGGGGAAGGGGGCCCTCCCCCCACTGGATTCCAACTCCCATGGTGGGGAAGGGGGTCTCCAATTTTGTGTTTGCCCCAGGCCCCAATAAATCTTAATCCACCTCTGAATGCAGCACCCCCAGATTTTATTGCGTCGCATTAATTGCCTGTGTAGACAAACCCACCTTGTATTGGCCTAGCAGTGCAATGCAGCCACTTCTGGGGTTTAGCATAGAACTGTTAGGGTTAAGGTTAATCCACTGATGTTTGTGCAAGATGATGCTACTGCCAGGACCAGACTGGCAGGTAACTTACCCTAGTAAAAGCTCAGAGTACTTGCAGGAAGGAAGAATTAAATTACCCAATTTGAAATGCTGCCAGGCTAACAAAGGCACTTCTCAGTGAAATGCAAACTAGCCAAAATCACTGCCTTTCCAGCTTGAGAAGAAGGCCACTAATGAACAACTCTCACATAGCTTTAATGCACAGAAAAGAAAGCCAAACCACAGACTATGACCAGAACAACAGGCTGACCTGAGGCCAGACTTGGAAGTGCTCAGTGTGGGTCCGAATCCCAACGCCAGAGGGTAAGGATGCTCTATGTCAATTTACATAGTACGGGGACACGTATTTTCAGAAGATGAACATGTGAGCTCTTTCCCTGTGGCTGCTATGACATTTCAAACTGCTACAGAGTATGGAGAAAACCAGCATGTCTTAGATGGCCACAGAATTATTTCACATAAAGATCAGGGCCCGGGAAGATAAAGCTTCTCAGAATAAAAAGCAGATTGTAACCAGGACAGGTCCTTGAATGACACCATCCATCTCAATGCAAACCACACAAAGAAGTTCAAGAGTAGTGGCAAATGTTTCAGAAGCCAGAAGTTATTGAATTAGTGGAGTGGGATGTTTGCCAGCATATAAATGGATTGTGCTCTTGACCACATTAATCATTAAGCTTTATGCCTTAAAATCTGCAGCCTCTGCCTAAGGGCTTACCTGCACTACATAGCCCCTGTCCATATAATTATGCCAGCAGAGCCTGCTCGTTGAGATACAACATAAGTTGGCAGAAGGAGTTTCAGCATTGGCATAGCTACATCACCTCCCTGAACAACATTAGCTAAGCTGACAAAAGTACGGTTACTAGCATAGTTGCCTCTCCCCTAGGAGTTTTGTTGACATAACTGTTTTGCTGACGAGATGCAACTTTTTTTCTTGTGCCCCTAGCCTATATGGATATGTTGGCAAAACTTGTGATGCAGAGGCAATTTATGCCAACAGGAAAGCTCTGTTCCCAGCTTCACCAGTGTTGCTGGCAGCTACTGGCCGTCACTAAGGTGGTTGGGAGGAGTAAAAATAGCACCCTCAGCAACTGCTCAGAAGCTTTGAACCTCCATCCTCTGCAAAGAATCCCTTCAGCCACAAGATCATCGCAACTACCTGTGAGCCCCTAGAAGAAGACCCACACTGGAGTGTGCAAAAACACCCTCTTAGACCACAACTGTACCACAACATTTTACTTTGCCCAGCTGTATTGAACTCAAACATGCTGCACATTTCTGGGCACTACAGCCTGGACCACAAGTGCAGCAAAGTGTCCATCCAGCGTCAGGGGGTGGATAGTTGTCTCTACTGCTCACAGTCTTAGCAGTAGCAAACTGAGCTATGCATGCCTGAAGGCACCATTGCTAAGCATGATAAGTTTGCCTGTTAGCCATGGCCTAAGACTCTCCAAATTGTTTTCCCAGATGCATTTCCCTGCTGTTCTTTACCTTTGATGTGTGTGGGAGCACATAATAGCTTGAGCTGTCGTATGGCACTCCATTTACAACCAACCTTTCTGTAATGTGATCTTATATTGCAAGATCCTCAAGGGCCGTCCCTTACTTTAGTGTGTTCATGTCAAAGCTACAACAGCGGGTGCCAGTCGCAGTTGTGGATTCGAGACACAACAGCAAAACAAAGAATAAATCATTCCAAAGGGATTGTTTTATTACTCGAGTCTTAGTAACCACATCATGACAATGCACGGTACACAGTCCCTTTGGCTAGATGTCTTACAAAATACTCTGCTGATCAGAGAGACTTCGCAGTTCAGCAGCTAGGGATCCTGCACATCACAAGTGAACGTTCCCGTTTCAAGAGAAGAGTCAAATTAAAGCATGCAGCGGCTCTTCATGAACCTACAGAATTATACTTACAGTATCAGGAGGGTCAGCAATGCAATTAGAAGGGCCCAGGTCTCAATGGAAAAGCCAGGCAGATAATTCATCATATATGAATACAGATATTCATCGTAGCTGTATACCTTTATGCCCTTTGTTCCCTGTCTGTTAATATTTGTTTCCTTTTTTTCTCTCTGTTGTAGATTGAGTTTGAAACTCTAAAGGAAATGAGAGAATTTAAATATCCCCCCCCCCC